GATTTTCCCTTAGTGAAACCATGTTGACTATCCAATAAAATTCGTTAAATGACTTTGCAAAGCATCTTTTATCAGATTTTCCAAAATTGTTCCCACAACTGATGTAAGATTAATTAATATAATAATATAAGAAAATTAATATAATAATATTGTGATATAGCGTATTCTGTTTTTATTCTGCTATGGTTCGTTTATTATTCCTTCTATCGTTTAGTTTATCTATCAATTTTTAATTACGTTTAAAACGCTAACTCACCTTCTAGCTTATCGCGTTTATTTTGAGTAAATATTCACGTATTATGAGACTGACATCAGAGTCCTCTAGTGGTGATGTACATATATCATTAATGTTGCACAAGAGTATGTAAATTACGTAAAGATATTATGCACAAAAGTATGTAAATTACGATCACATGATTTGTAATCTCGTGATCTAACAAATGAATAAAAACCCTACTGATTGAGCTGTAACAAGTTAGTTCACGAGATATAGCTGAACAGTGTTGTTACTGACTATTATTACTAGATGTTGTTAGATATCTTGTGGTTCAAATAAGACGGAATATTGTTATTTTGGAATTAGGTTTGTTTTGTTTTTTCCCGATTCTTTTATTATTTGTGTGTGTGTGTTTTGGTAAGTTATCAACTTTGTATTCCAATAGTTTGAAAGTCACAGTTTGGATTTCTGTGGTTGGCAAAGTCCAGGGTGTCCCAGAAGTCTGGACCCGTGGGAATAATAAAGTCCAGGGTGTCCCAGAAGTCTGGACCCGTGGGAATAATAAAGTCCAGGGTGTCCCAGAAGTCTGGACCCATGGGAATAATAAAGTCCAGGGTGTCCCAGAAGTCTGGACCCATGGGAATAATAAAAAAAACTTCTTAAAGTTCAATAACCACATCTCTGATGTCAGTTATACACATTTAAAGCAAGAAAATACCCGGATAACACAGTATACCCTGAATTGATACTCGTAATCAATTTGAATAATATATAAATCAAGAATAAATTGTGTATTTTGTTTTCCCCGTGCGTCCAAGACTTCTAGGACACCCTGGACTTTATTATTCCCACGGGTCCAGACTTCTGGGACACCCTTTATAATAAAGCTGTTTTTTGTTTCTTCAACCCTAATTGTAGCGGTGAGTTACTTCAGACCGTTACAATATAATAATATAATTTAGAGTTGCTATACAAGTCATATATGTAAAAGTGGGGGTGCTAAAACGCCCCCGGTTCCGACGACACCCGTGGTGCCAGTTGAATGGAAGCCAATGAAAATCGCAGAATAGAAGAGCAATGGAAACTTTTGTTTTGTTATGTTTCACGAAACTATGATGACACCGAGACTGTTTTATGTTCACGAGCATATCTCGTTAATAAATGTACTAATATTTCATTTATTCAAGTACCTAACAAGTTCTTGATTTTTATATTTAATTTACTTTCATAACAATAAATAAAAGATGTATATAAAATAATCACCTACTTTACGTCTGGCCTCTTGTTTTTTTATATTTTTGTTGTCGGCACTCGGATGAAATTTAACCTTTTGTTTTTATTTTAGATATGGTAATTATTTTTCGGGGGGGGGGGTGGCAATGAGAGTACGTACAAGAGGGAGTCTGAGCAAAACGTACAACTGCGTTTAAGGGGTTGACAGTGGGTTAAAAAGCCCAATTTTTCGAGTAAGTTCTTTATGGATGCCCCTCAACGACAACCTTAATATAACAAGTCGAAGCTCTACTCAGCAGGATAATCAGATCACTCAGTCCATTAAAAGTTTACGTGATAGCAACGAGTGGTGATGGTGGGGTAAAGGGGGGTTAACTGTTATTTTAA